CCCCACCCCACCCACACCCAACCCCACACCCACACACCCACACCCACACCCACACCCACACTCACCCACACCCACCCACACCCACACCCACACCCTTGTTTTTATTATAGTAAGAGGTATTCTGATTGTCTTATCTTTTATTACCTTTGCAAGGTAATGCTTTTTATGTGATATTTTGTAAATCAAAGCATATTAAATAAGAAAGAAAAAAAAGGTAATAAACCTATTTTTCTTTCTTTGCGATAGATTGCACATATAGAAACTGCGAGCATGTTTCGTGTTGATATAAACGACGAATTAAAATTAATTCAAGTAAAAACTAATGAAGAATCCAAAGAAGAAATTTTAGCCGAAGGATATTTTATTTTCGATGAACCTGGTCATGCTGTACTAGTGATTTTTGAATACATCAATATTTTGCCAGAAGATTACTGCAAATTAGGTCAATTACTTTCAACTTTCATTCTTCATTTGGGTCAGCACTTTAAGTCACTTATATGTCTACGTTTACCGGTTACATTCGACAATCGAATTGATTTCAATAAACTTGAGTTTAAATCAAACATCTCAAACTTCATGGCAGTTAAGAATGATAATCTGAAACATTATGCTGACCGAAATATAGAAAGTCAACAAGATCAATATGTCCTAATAACAGACAAACAATTGATATTGGGATTTGCCGAATCACTATATAATATATTGAAGCAGGAAGCTTATTGGTGTGCAACACTAACTTTGGAAGAAATGAAAAATCGAATCAATTCATCAGCACACATTGCAATGATTTTAGATAAAACATATAATCAACCGTGTGGTTATGGACGATTATTTCTTTTAAAAACTAACACTCAACTCTTTGGATATATGTCGGATGTTGCTATTAACAGTTCTCATCAATCGAAAGGTCTTGGTAGCATTTTGATAAATCATTTCGTCGGTACATTTTTAAAGAAATACAGTGAACTAGAAAATATTAATGGTACACTTTGTTTACTATGCGCTGATAAAGGTAATGGTGCCATATCGGCACCTAAAATATACCGAAAAGCAGGTTTTGAATATCTTAATGATCTTGGTAATCGTATTGCTATTTTTTCTAACAGAGATTTTCGTTAAAACATAATAAAATAAATTTAATCCATAATTTGATGATATATTCTATAATCGGAACATACAATGGTATGTTAATTATTATCATTTGATGGAAAATAGAAATTAGCGAGCAAGAAATGGAATAGACCCATCTGGCATTTATCGGCACACTAAGAAATAACCTCAAGGACAGTTATCTCTTTGAAAAGGATTTTTGCCATTCATTAAGTCTATATCACTATGAGAATAGATTCAACTATTACGCAAATTCAAAACAGAATAGAGCGAGTTTCGACTATTGCTTAAGCAGTCATCATCAATTAACATTAGAATATTGCATACTTTTTAGAAAACTATTTTTTTCTGCTACGTTTGATTTATATTTCATTCATCAAAAATTAGCTATTATAGTTGTGTTTATGTGCAATAAAGTCCATCCCAATGATTGACAAAATAAGTCGGTTCGAATGTTTTGACAAACATTCATTACACGCCGAGATATCGACTTGCTCAGGATTCCAAGCGTGTATTTTCCCCCTTGATCATGGCACCTAGCAGCTGCTATCAGAAAGATTCCTATTGTCACAAGGTGTTGGTTCATGATTTTGATCGTTGCTTTCAAGATTCTAGTTCAGTTTTATGCATCATTGAAATTATATTGACTGAAATTCATTCATTTCATCAAAGCACTTCTACAAAGTGATAATGCGGGAGTGCTTAGACTTGACTTTCATTACCCCATATGTCAAAAAGAACTGGAATTGAAGTTCAGCGCCTTGACTTTTCAGACCCCAAAGGTGGTAAATCACCCTGTGATTGATTTGCAGCTGTATTGAAATCAAGTGTGTGAAGATATATTGAAATGGGAAAAAACGATATAATTAATGCCTCCGAATTTGTAAATGTGTGTCGCTCACAGGGAAAGGTTCCAATTTATGAATGCGGATAAGTTGAAGATACGAATTCTGTTGCTCGGTTTAAGTTTATCGGTATAACTAGTTACAATAATTTCAACTTTGACGAAAATAGCCTGTCAACTTCTCATGCTTGAGATGTAGCTCGTGGTAAATTCTTTCCCTTCACAGATTTGAAGTTTGGTGAAAAACATAACAAATTTATCTTAACAGCAAATTCAAATATCTTTTATTCATCTTAGATATAAAGTAAAACCAATGTAGCATAACATTGTTAGTAGATCTATTTATTGAATTTGAATGTAGAGAATTCATTATTATAAAAAGTTTAAAATCGTTTGACTTTTTTAAGTTAAAAATAAACAAATCAACAATATAATCCTACTTTTATTTTAAATAGAATGTAAACTATTTTATTTTTAATCTCTTATATATAAATGTACTGAATTTCATTTTAAATGAATAAAATAGAGAGATATTGAATACTTTACGGTTACTATTTGATTAGTCTTTTTCTTTACAAAGTAAATTAATGTGTTTTATCAAATTTCATTTAAATAAATCTCGTAAATTATCAAGGGGAGATAATAAATAATCAGTTTGTCGCATAAGATACTTTTGTGGACAATATCTGAAATGATTCTACGTAGTAAGAGTAATTTATTACATACATCGATTGATGGATATACTTGATTTAGATACATTTTCTCTAATATCGTGAATGGTCAAAAACAAAACACAGGGAAACGTAAGAAAAATGCAATCCTTGTACATATTCCACAATGCACTATCAAATTATACCCATAGGTTAGATTTGCTTTTTATTGAAACATACTGTCATATGGGCAAGCGTGTGTGGATATAATATATATCAGAGATAAGTGTTTTTAATTTTTATTGGGTTATTTTAAAATTAATGAAAAATCAATAATTTCGTTTTGGTTTGTTTACTTTTCTCATAGTCTTTTGTGTAATGTTTAACTTAAAATAAATTTTTAATTAGATTCAACTTATTTCATTGGATTATCAACTAGAGCCGTATTCTAAATCTTCAATTTTCTCATTTAACTCTTCGCAACTAAAATAAATACAGGTTCAGGATCAGCAATTGACCATGCACAATGATATTGAAATCGGTGTCTGTAGGAAAGGCCCTCAACACATTTTATGATTAATAAAAACAATCATTTTAATCTTTTATTGAGAAACTTTTTCAACGGATATTCTTGACATATATGATTTAAAGATAGATGTAAATTTATGTTCATTATTTTCTATAGAACGAGTCAATAAAACTTGAATTTAACGTACTATCTGTACGAGGTAATACAATGGAAAACTGCCAGGGTTTTTCTATTCGATTGTGATTGGAAACCACACCTTTCTTATTGATTGAGTTATTTGATTTTTCTTTACACGACGCAAGCTCATGAAAAGATTTAAACTGGTGCACAATACTTCTAGAGAAAAAAATTAATACATGGTAATATTTTGTCTCGCGCCTTCATCACTGTCTTCGAAGAAAGTCTACAACAACTCATGCTTCTTCAAACAGCCACGTTCAAAAACATATTTCTCTTCCTTTCTTTATTTTAACTGCTTGATATGATTTACAATGTGTTTGTTCTTTAACTTTCGATAAACCGAAGCAAAAGTTATCGCACATGTATCATGACTACTGTTATGTTATTATTTTGTATTCAAAACGTAACTTTTTGCTTTTGCTTATTTCAGACGATTCAGTTTTGTCATTTAATGAAATTATTTTCACTTGTCACTTTCAGCACACGGTAAAGGACTAATATTCTTGTAAATCATTCTTCAATTTAAAATTATCACTGATCTAGTAAGTTCCATTTTTGTTTTAATGTCAATAATCCTCTTAATATGGTACATAGATCAATCATAGCATATCATTTCTCAATATGTGATGACTCAGTAGTTTAACAGGGTTTACTTTAGTTTTACCGCTATACAATTTAATGCTCACAATATAAAAATATCTGAAACTGTTTTCCTCATCTTAAATAGATCCAACAATAATAACTATTTCTCAGTTTATATTTTAGAAGTTTTCTGCACTATCGGATACCTATATTAGTTAACATGGCTAGTAAAGATGAAGTATCTATTCATCATACTCGAGTTTGTGATATTGGTCAAGAACCACACAAAATGCTCATGCCAATTCGTGGATACGAAGATGTTCCGTTGGTTTCTCTTGAAGAAGCGGTTGAGCCCCTGGTATCAAGTGTACCTAATATTAAAGACTATGCTTATGTAGCTAAGCAACGATGTGATGAGGAGCCACCTGATGGTCTTAGTCAAGATGAATCAGCAGCCATTATGCTCTACTTCATGGACTGGCCACCACAACAAAAATGTCTTTACTATGTGCTCAACAGTATTCTTCGATCGGAAGATAGACGGAAACTAGAATCATGGTTTCGTTATTTAAAACTTTTTCTAACTGCACTCAATCGTCTTCCGTCGACTCATTGCGCAGTTTACCGAGGCGTCAAAATGGATTTAAGTAAACACTATAAAAAAGGAAAAACAATTGTTTGGTGGGCTTTCTCGTCTTGTACATCAACAATTGAGGTACTTGAAAACGAAGATTTTTTGGGTCAGACTGGTACAAGAACATTTTTCACAATCGAATGTGACAATGGAAAAGATATTAGTCGCCATTCATATTTTCAATTCGAACAAGAAGTTCTACTTCCACCTGCAAGACATTTCGAAGTAGTATCTTCTCTACAAGCAGCATCCGATCTTCACATGATTCAATTGAAAGAAGTTAAGCCCCCAATAGTATTACTACAGCCGGTAACTTTAGAGTCGCAATCAAAGAAGCCTGTACCTGGTAAGAAATACTATTTATTTCTGATTGTTAATCTATATGTTTATTTCAAATAACAAACTCTAGGTGAGTTGTTTCAGTCAGTGGGGTATTTTTCACTTTCATTTCACATACTGTCCTTTTTTTTCTTAAAACAGTATCAATACAGAAAAGTTATGTCATTGAAGTAAGGATGCGAGTGTGGCATAGTATAGTCTAAATGTACCGATTAATTAAAATGAAAGAAATGTTTTAGTTAGATGACTATATAAAAAAAGTCGATTATTATATGAACACATTGAATCTTATCTTTTTCAGCGCCTACGAAAAAAGACAAAACTACCACCAATGTTGATGAAATAAAGATTAAAGTCGAACAAGTGAGGGTGTGGGTGTGAGTGTGAGTGTGGATGTGGATGTGGGTGTGGGTGTGGGTGTGGGGTGTGGGGTGTGGGTGACGTTTCAATCATAGCCGCACCCATACTCTTACCAACACCCACACCCACACCCA